TCCAATCAAACGAGTTGTTTGGCAAATTTCAGAAAAAGAAGTGGCAAAAAACTTATTTGGACAACTGAAAGAATGCAAAGTAGTTGTTTACCGAGATTATCAGCACGCATTCTTATCAAATAAACCATATCCCACAGGAACGTCCAATGTGGTTAAGAAGAGGTATCATAGAGCAGGCGCATATTTTAATATCTCCGATAGGAACGTCGTAGTTGGAAAATCATATATATTGATTTAATTTACAAAGGTGGTCCTTTGGATCATTTTAGTTTCTCTTTTTTTCCATTTCCAATGATTTCTCTCTCTTCCATTAGTCAAGTGGAACATTTTACGACTGCCATTAACAAAGCTGTCGCAAAGTTGCAAACTTCGGGCAAGTTACGCAGAAAAAAGGGAAAGGAGGATTAGCGTATAACTGATTTCTTCTTTGATGAAGAAAGGAGGCATAAAGCTGGGCAGTGATCATCTCCTCTTTATGCTCTGAAAAGTCGGATTTAAGCGCTGATGCAAGCCATGGATTTCTCATAAAGTTTATTGCTTGTTTACACAAAACTCGAACATCAGACACTAATCATCATGTGAAATCTTTAAAAATCAAGGGGATGACTATCTTAGTTTTATATAAACGAGAAGTCTGAGAAAAACCTTAACAAGGAAAAAGACTACAGATGATACAATTGTTTATTAAGGTGTTACCCGTTAAATCAAGTATATGCACAATTTGATAATTCAATTAAGGAAAGAACAAGCATTAATTACGTTAAGGACAAATGTATCACCAAAGTTCAGCAAGTAGAGTGGTACATCACATCTACATAACGAATTTTCTACAACGAGTAATTGTGTTCGGGTACATCGCATTGATGCGATTTATGAAATTCTTGAAGGCTCTGAAAAATGCTGTTTACAAAGATGATAATTTTTTGAGCTTTTTGTAATTTATATAAAGCGATATACTTCATCGTTTTTGGAAAAGCGTACTACGGTGAAAGGTGGGCCGCTTAAAAATATTATTTAGTATATGTTTAGACTATTCGTCATTCATACTTCATTCGTCCATTCAATTATTCACTTCGTCAATCAATCAAGCAAGTAGTCAGTCAAACAACTGATTGGTCAGTAGTTCATTAATTATTTCATCCAATCATTCATACACTCATTCATATATTCATCTACTCATTCACTAACTTATTCATTCATTCATTCAATCACTCTCACTCATTTATTCAATCAGTCAATCATTCATTCATTCAATCGGTAAA